CAACTCCATTCCAGTGATCTACATCTGGACTGGACTTCTGCCAAAACATCCCGGATACATAAACTGTGTAAGGGTAAGTTCTTGCTTATAAGCATTCAGTAAGCTTCCAACAGCTGAAGCATATAGGACGTCCATTTGATCGATCTCACATTTATTCTTAGAACACTGAAAGTTTCGAAACCTATTACCCTTGACTATAGGAATAGGCGCAGGTTTATTCACATATATACTTTATTTCTTTAGAATCTTCTCTAAGTATACACTTGAGATAGTTCTAATACCCCTTTTCCTTTTATCTCGGTAAGTTCCAATTCCTGGAACGAATGATGCTTTACCCAGACCATTCTTATTGAAACTTGAGGACAAGAACTGCTTCTTCTCCAACAGTAGATTAACACCACTACTAGCAAGTAAGGTGCTACCCACATGCAGGATTAGGAAAATAAATTTCCCATGTTTAAACTTTGCATAAATACAATTGTCCTCTACATTCTCTTTAAAACCTAAACTTTCTTATTGTACTGTCAAACTTCAAGAACCACTGTCTTGAAGCTTGCTTTAATCCATAAATGTATTTCTTTAGACAACATCCCTTTACGTTCTTTTCCTTCCATGACAAAACCTTTTGAGTTATACCATGTAAACTTTTCCATACAAATCCCCGTTGAGGAATGTGTCTTTACATCCTTCTGATGTAACTGTAAATTGTAATGTGCCACTAATACCATTATGATTCTAAAAGAATCCTTGCATGCTCATTATAATCTATTCCTTCTCTTTATGTAAATCATTTCACCACAAATGGCGCTTTATAGCTTTCCATATTCCCTTTGGATATCTTTCTACATTTCCTTTGGAGTCACATTTGTCTTGTAGATCCATTATAGCCTACTGTTTTGGCTCCATTAGGAATTTCTTCTAAGTCCCAAACATCGTTGGTATTTATCGATTTCATTTCATGTTCCTTTGCTTCTTGCCATTTAGACGAGTGAACGCCTATCATGGCTTCTTCAAATGAGGTGGAATCACTCTCTATTTGAATTTCTTTCTTAACTTTTACTTCTTAGTCACCAGTAATATCTGATTTTCTTATTCTTTGAGACCTTCTAGAGCCTCGTGGCACTTCTTTCATATGGGGCTATTGTTACTCTTCATTGCCAAAAGGCAATTGTTCTATAGCCTCCTGTATCACAAGATCCTTGTTTACTTATTCATCCTTTTTAAGAGCTAACATCTGGTGTTGTATATGTCATACAACATCAGCATGTATGAAGCAATTTGTTGCTCTAATAAACACTGTAGTGGATATGTAATCCCACTTCTATTCAAGCCTTAGGTATCTACACACCATGCTCCCCCAGATTACTCCATCTTCTGTAAAAATGATGTATCTTCAAATTTCTTATTTTGGGTTTAATCTGCTAAAAATTCATACGGCGCATTTAGCACCGCCTTGATAACTCTGAACTCGTCCAGCATGAATTCTAGCCGACTATGCTATCTTTCCATCGGAACTATAAAAAAATCCAGGAATTTAGCTATTTCTTTACTTTACGGGTATTATTATTATGACCGTCTTACTCCCTCAACGATCACATTCATCTTTTATAGATCACTTTTACCTTCAATGCATAGTATGCATTGCATTATCTGAAGTATGGGGAAAGTATCTTTCTTAATTGTCTTTCTTAATTAATCTTACATTTCTCCCCCTCGAAATGTGGTATGAACTTTTCTACCACAATTTTGAAACATTCAGAACTCTTGTGAATGAGGAAACTTTGATTACTTACTTCATCCACATGATTACATCATGCAAACAAAATTCGTATAGAAGTACATTTTCCTCATTACACTTCAAAACTCAACATAGTCTATTATTATAATACTTCTGCAAGTCACACTTGCATATTATTCTTATCTTTTGGTTCACATGCAACTTTCTTTTGTTCTTAAACTCGTTGAGTACTTAATGACCATGACACAATCAGAGTGTACGGTCAATACTAGGATAGCATAAGAGTTATCACAAACTTCTCTCCATGTGCGGGATATTTCTTTAAAGCACATGAGTCATCACATCCTCCTCCCGCCATGCGGGATAAGTACTATGCCAAACTCTCCCGCCATGCAGGATTGGTTGACATATGTACTATGCCAACTTTACCCCGCCATACGGGTATTTTCTCAAACTTTTTCTCGCCATGCAAGATATTCCTTTGAACGGATATAATTGCCAAGATTGGCTCGTGTTCAATCATCAAATTCAGAAATAAATCCGAATATTCTTTTAACACATATGTTTAATCCAATGTTAGTCAAATTAAACATGTATATGACTTTTACAACTCTCATAAGTGAAACTGAAAATAAATTCTTCTCCACAGAGAGTACATAAAAGACATTTCTCAATAAAGACTCCCATTGATCTATCTCTTTTCTTGGATCAATATCCTAGAATTCTTTTCTTTTGAGGTCATTCTTTAAAGAGAACACAGTCCCTTAACCAATGGCATTCTTTCATACATTAACTTGCCCTTAGGCATTTCATCATCTGAGTCACAAGTACCCAGCTTATTTCTCTTTCTACCTTCAAGAATGAAAGCATAGAGGTCTTTTGTCTGAAAAATATTCAACAATAATGCTCATTAAACTTTGAAAACTTTATGTTCTATTCTATATCACCGTTGAGCAGAAATAGAATAAAATATCATTCTTCTACATTAATTCCACATCACCGTTGGGTAGAAATAGAATTAACGTATAGAAATTCAATAATCTTGAAAACATAGAATTGCTCCTCAAAATTAAATTCTCCCGTTGGTTCGAATTTAATTAGAAGACAATCAACTTTATTGCAGCGGAAACATGAAAATACTTTCTCTAGTTTAAGAGCATTCCTTGATCTTTATCTATTCTCTGAAAAATTGGTCACTTTGATGCAAAATTCATCAGAGATTTAAACTTTAAACATAAAACTCATAGAATTATAATATTGTTATCATCAACGTTGGTCAGAAAATAACAATACCATAATTTAACTTTAAACTTAAACTCATAAATAAACTTATAATATTGTTATCATCAACGTTGGTAAAAAAATAACAATATTATAATTTATCTTAACTATCAACCGACTATTCCTCCAATTAAAATTTTCCAGCTGATTCTAATTTTAACTAGAGGATAAACTTTTCATCATTTACTGAATAACTATAACTGCTCTTCAAATTAGAAGACAATAAACCTTTAACTTTGCAGCGGAAACTTACAAAATTTCTTTATCTACTTTTCATAAGCATTTTACTATATTTTTCTACTCTCTGGAAAATCTAACACGTTGGTGCAATTTTACCAGAAATTTAAACCTTCAAAATCATTTAAATCTGCTTCTAAAAATAATAAAACAAAAAACCATGAGTTACCCTTTAATTCTATTCTTTTGGCCCACCTCAGAAAAGTGGCATGTGGGCCCATTTTGCGCTGCTTTTTTGCTGCCCCAGCTCTGTGCAGGCCCGCGCTCGCCCGTGGGCTAGCAAAGACAAGAAGATTAGAAGCAGACGCTGCCCGCATGGCTCAAGACCGAGCGCGCGCTTTCGCTCTCCGCCTGCAAGCCACAACTTGGGCTGGGCGGAATTCGTCGCCGCTTTGGGCCTCATTCAGCCCGGCGAATCGTGGCCATTCATTTTGATCGGACGGCCATGCGCGACTTCCGCGGGATCAAAACCCCGCCCGCCGGTCGCCCCTCCCCAAACCCTAGCTCATTTCGTTCTTCCTTTCTCTCCCTCCACTCTTCTCACGCCACCGGCAAGCCGCCGCAAGGGAGCTCGACGTACCGGTGCCAGGAAAGGAGCGTTCGGCGGGAGAGGATGGCGCCGCCGTGAGGCCCTTCGCCGTGCACGCTGCGTGCGCGCTGCTGCCCCATCGAATGGCCTTGCGACCGGCGCCCTTTTTGTTCGAAGTTCAGCACGCAGACGCACACACAAGACAGTTAGAATGGCGCGGCTCCCTCGATCTGGATGGCGGTGAGCTCAGATAGGAGATCGGCAGCGCGTCGGGCCTCTTTTCTCCCAGCGATGGCGGTTGCGGCGGCGGCGGCGACGAGAGAACAGGTAGGTCCTCCCTCCGTCCATCTCTCTCTGTGTTCATTTAGGGTTAGGGTTAGGGTTACGGGTACCCCTCCCCTTTCTCTCTATTCTTTGCTTTTGATTCGGAAAAACCCTAGATCTACACCCTAGGGTGGCGAACTGCTGGGGTTAGGGTTCTTTAGGAGGGTAATCCGAATCGAATTCGAATCCTCTTCTTTCTTTTCCTTTCTATCACCCGATTAGGGTTTAGGGTTCGATGAACCCTATGTAATTCTTTTCTTTCGATCCGAACCGGATCTAACCTATCTTTTCTTTTCTAATCGGTTTCTCGCCCCTGACAAGATCCACGCCTAGGGAAACCGGCTCCGATACCATTGTTAATTACTTTGGATCATCTAGGTGCGGATCCAGTGGGTGATTTCTTTATCAGTTGAATCAAATACACCTATAGCTTCCTTTGGGAGTAGGAGATAGAGAGAGAGTAGGAGCATCTGACCGTCGGAGGAGCTCCCTGCCTTCACTGGTTCGTCGATGAAGATCTGCACACGGCAGCGACGGTCGGAGTAGCGGTGAAGACCGGCGGTGGCGCAGTGCAGTGGCGGTGACGGTTCTTCCCGTCACTGGCTGCGCCCCTCTGTTAGATCGGAGTAGGGTTTCTAGGTAGGGCGTACGGCTCAGGCGAACCTCGTACTGAGAGCCGCCGACCCCACCTCTATTTAATGCGCAGTGTGACGGGGGCCCGCCAGCCATAGATGGACTGGGCGCCCTCGATCAGGGCGCGAGGTCAAGGCCCAAGTGGCCGTTGGGTCACTGTGGTTGGGAGATCAAACCAACAGATAATACCTGGGCAGTACAATTCATTCATCCATTAACCACCTTTTATTTATTTATTATATGGAACCTCAATTGCAGAAAGACATTTGGAGTGACGAGGAAGACATGGTTCTGATACAAGCACACAAGGAAGTGGGCAACAGATGGGCAGAGATAGCTAAGCGGCTACCCGGCAGGACAGAGAACTCCGTAAAGAATCATTGGAACGCAACAAAGCGAAGGCAGTTTGCACGGAGGAGGCGGAGCCGCGCTAGCTCGTCCAAGGGTCCCAAATCAGGCACGCTTCTGCAGAACTACATCAAAGGCCTTGGCTTTGGCCCAACCAGCAACAAGACCGTCGCGCTCGCGCCGCTTCCTGAACCTACACCATTGCCATCTTCTTCACCTGAAACTCCCGGAGCCACGAAGCCAGCAAAGACTGATGAAATAAAGCTGGAAAACATACTGGATTCCCAAGGCATTCTTCTTCCAATCATGGATGAGTACGTTTGCAGCGAGTCTCAGTCTTGCGAGGACCTTCTTGCCCCTCTCTGTGATGGCTTTTCAGTCGAAATGTGTGACGGCCTGTTCGACGTGAACGAGGGAGGCTTCCAAGTGTGCAGCGTGGACGACGACGACATCGACATGAACTACATCTTCGATCATATCGACCACCACGCGATCAAGGTTGATCCAGAGGAGATTGACATGGTGATGATGATGATGTGGGATGGCAACGACGCCCTCGGGTGTACTGCTGAGCCTGCTGCTGGACCTGCAGCAGCTCATGTCGAAACTGTGCATGTGAAGGAGGAGATGGACCTGATTGAGATGGTGGCAGCCACGCAGAACTGCGGCGAGGCCGGAAATCTTCACTAGATAAGATATAATATGTGGTATTTTACAGATAAGCTCACGACCTAAAGATGTAACTACAGTATAAGATATCCGTATTGAACTGCACGACCTTTTCGATTATGTGTCCCTTCGTGCATGCTGGGGATCACGACAAGTCGACAATCAGTAAATAAATAAAGCTTCAAGTGAAGTGAAGCACACTTGGTTCGCATCGTATATATGTTGTGTCTTGTGTATATACATACTGTATTTTGCAGCTCTTCCTGGTGGAGTGGTGATGATAGGCTGTTTGTTTTGTCCGAAACGTCCTTAACATATGTTTTCGTTGTGAGAAAGAACCTTTAGGCGAGTTGGTTGGGTTGCTTTAGGTTTGCACCTTAAGTCCTAAGTTCGACTCACGTGGCAGCGAATTTTCAGAGGCTAAAAAATCCCCAAAGTTGGTAATTTTACATCCGGAATTAAAATATCATATCATTCTCAGAACAATGTATAAATATCTATATTAGTTTGAAGTATAAAATATATGTCTAACATTAGTTAATCCTTTACTCATGAATGAATTCATGTTTAGAAATAGTGCATGAAAAGTAAAATTTTAGGAGCAAAGATGATGCGTTGGTCTCTAGATCAATATGACAAAACATCTACAATTCAAATGACAAAACAATAGTACTAAAATATAGTTATGATCAAGCAAAAATACACGAATTTTTTTTATTAATAAAAAGTTAATTACCCATGCTATTTGCGTGCCAAAACCGTATTATACAACTTGTATCATACGTACTTGTCATTAAACAGCATAGATCATTAATTCCTGGTTGACTCAATCGTTAATAACCAGGTGTTGGCCTAAATCCTAGTTGGACAACTACTGGTTGGTGGCTTATTTTTTATTAAGATGAAGCGGGTATGATTTTTAACACATGTCAGTTGTAAGGGTCACCCTGAATAGAAATTTTTTCCGAGAAAACACTCACGTGTTATTATATTCAAATAAAACAATATAAAAAATAAAGATAAAAAAAATCAGTTGTAAATGCGTGGTGGATCCATTCCAAGCAAAACGGGGGGCTCCATGCCAGCGCAGCGCTGCCGTTCTGTGCCGTCCATGCGACCTAGTTTCCGTTTGAACTGTCTGACCGCCGCACGGCTTGACAGCAACAGGCAGTTGACGGCAATAAACTGGCCGGCGTGTCAGTAAAGATCGAGGCTTCACGTGGCCTCTCCTGAATCCTGATCTCCTCTTGTGCCGCCCTGGCCCACCCAACGTCTGAACGCACGTCAGCAGCATGTCCCCCAGGGCTGCCCCTTTTCGTTGACTCTGGTCAACCTGACTGATCCCACGGACACGACGGGTAGTACGACGAGCTGTAGAAGCCTGGCCACGCCGCCGCCGGGGGCTGTCCTGGGTCCGCGCGGCTCTGCGGCGGCGTGAGGTAGTCGTAGCCCTCGGGGGTCTGGCCCTCTGCTCTGAACCCGTACGCCGAAGCGGGAGGAGGTGGTGGAGGCAGTAACGTAACACTCCGAGTTGGAGTCCCCGACGATGCGCTGGGACCGCCGCCGCCGCTCTGCAACAATCTGGCGTACTCGGAGTAGGGGTCCCTGCTGCCGCCGGCGGGGAGCGCCTGCGACTCCAGCAGCGCCTCGGGCCTGGCTGGCGGCGGCGTCGTCGTCAACACGCGCGAGGCTGGAGTCAGAGGCTGCTGCTGTGTCGCTGCCGATGCCGGCGGTGGCGGCGTGGACGGCGGGAGCGTGGCGGACTCGGGGAAGTTGAGCTTGGCGCGGCTGCCGCGGAACCTGAGCGCGGCGCCGTCGTAGGCCCTGGCGGCGTCCTCGGCGGTGTCGAAGGTGCCCAGCCACACGCGCGCCGCCTTGTGCGGGTCCCGGATCTCCGCCGCCCACTTCCCCCACGGCCGCTGCCGCACCCCGCGGTACCGCTTCGCGCCTGCTGCCGCTGCTGCAGCCAGTGCTGCCTCCTCCCCCAGCCGACGGCGGGGACGGGAGCTCGTCATCCGCGGCGGAAGAGGCGGCGCCGTGCTGCGAGTGCGAGTAGGTAGCCACCGTCGCCGTCGCCGTCGCCGTCGCTGCCGCAGGCCAGTACTGCTCGCGCGGCTGCGTCGTGTCGTAGCCTGCATGAAAGGTGGTCACAGAGAACAGAGGTTGGTTTGGTTATTCTTATTCATGAGCGTTTAAGAAGTTACAGTCTCAGTTCAAATCTTTAACATTACCCATTTTCTACTGCTGGTTAAAACTAGTGTATACGACCGTACTGTAATTTATTATTAAGATGACAAAAGCATAGCATCAGAAAACAGTAATGGCGGCTAGTTACAAGTTGACTCGGCAGCCATTGCTCTGTTTTTCCCCTACTATCCACCACTAAACAAGGAGAAGCAGAGCTGCACACTTACGCATTCGCAATGCATTTTGGGTTATCTTCTTATCCAGATCCAGGTTAACCTCTGAAAGCAACCTTGTTAGTGTGATGATGGTGCTACCTTGTTTTTAACAAGTTTAGTGTGAGTGGATGGAGTTTACCTGTAGAGGAGAAAATAGGCAACCCTAATTCCCATAAACTAAGCTTGGGTGTTGACTGTTGACAGTGCAGTTAGGTCAGGGGTAGGCTTGGATTTGATAGCTACTCCGGTTTACAGAGAAAGCTAGGACAAACGAAAATTATCTACCTACAAATGGTTTTCATCCGATGGCCGATCCAATGCCTTTTGTTTTGTTTTATTAATAAAAAATAAAATATAAGAAGTGTGTGAAAAATCCAAGACACACGGGGTCACATGGATTGAAACGTGATGAATTGGTAGCAGCCCTTTTCTATGTATATTATATCGTGATTATTATTATTAAACGACACGACACGATGTAGCAGTTGCGTGTGGTGGGTGCGCACGGGGAAAGGCGTAAGGCAGCAGCATGCACGCTAATGTCACACGACGCTTGTACGGACCTCGTGCACATCTAAATCTAGCCAGCCATAGAATACACATACATATGCCACTACTCGATGCACAACAAACTATCAACGTGCGTGCGTCCTGCCACGACATTTAAAGAATAATAACTTGAGGAAAGAGTATAAAATGATACGTAGAAAATATTCACTCTATTCTAAATTGTAAGTCATTTTAATAATCTTGGAGAGTCAAAGTATTTTAAGTTTGACTAAAATTATAGAGAAAAATATAAAGATTTGTGACATCAAATATGTATACTATAAAAATATAGTTAACGAAGAATCCAATGATACTTAGTTGACATTCTAAATATTATTATCTTATCGTATAAATTTGATCAAAGTTGAGATGCTCCAAGATTCTTGAAATGACTTATAATTTGGGATGGAAGAGTACGGAATTATGCATGAGTGAGAAAAGAAGGAACAAAGAAAAAAAATGCATATTCATGGATCATGGAGTACGAAGCGCACGTTGCCCGCCCGTCCTACCACGACACCAACTAGAGCAGTAACCAAACAATGGCAGGCAGGCAGCGATCGGCCGGCGCCGCTGCCCGGCCTGTTCTGTTTTTTTGCCGACGACTTACCGTGGAGCACGAAGCGGGCGGCCGACGCCGGCTCGGTGACCTGCAGGTCCTCGTACGGCCACCACGCCTCGTCCATGGAGGCATCCTGCGGCTGCGCGGTGCCAGCGGGTCCCTTGTCCGGCGGCGGCGCCGAGCCGGCGACCACCGTGGTGAGCGCGGCCACCATGGCCGACATCTCCCGCGCCTGCCTGCTGCTCTGCCACGGCGCCGCGGTAGTCTCCATCACGGACGGCTCCCCCGGCAGCAGCGGCTGCGGCTGTCCGCGGCCTCCTCCTCGGTCGTCTTCGATGTCGGCGGCGAGAGCCGCCGCTGGTGCTCCTGCTCCCCGGAGTTCGCCACCGCGGCGTGGCACATGAACGAACGAACGATCCCAGCCCGTACACACACGACGTACTGGACACCCGCCCGCCCGCCCGCCACGAGATGGATGAGTCGGTCGGTCGGTCGGTGCCTATAGCTACGTGACAGGCGTGACCTTTCTCTCAGAAATGGCTGAGCAACGTGTGTCCCATATATATAGGCGTGCGTGTGTCATCTCCACATGTGAAAACTGCATGCAGGTGACAAAGCTTATTAGCTTCGGCAGCAAGAGAAGGCCGGAGTTGGACATTATCAACCATTAATTAGAGGCTCATATTTTCCATTCTGCAACTTGTCTAAAGAAAATAAATAAATAAGCAAAGCGATGATACATATTACTCCACCGGTTCCACATTATAAATCATTTTGATTTTTTGTGGTTCATCCATTATGTCTCTAGACATATTATTATATCTATATACATAGCAAAATGGATGTACTAAAAAATCAAAGCGACTTATAACGTGGAATGAATGGAGTACTTGCGGTTGTGGAACCTGTCGACGTGGGGTTTCAATGAATCCTCAAGTAGACAAGCTGATGTTTTCATTTACTTGAATTTATTCTATAATTTGATGAATGATATTCTTTTAGTCATAGTCAATGTGTCCATCTTCTGTTTCCTATGATTCGTGAAAAAATATGTCTAAGGAAAAATGTGGCAAAATTGTTGGTTTTTTAAAGTGTTTAGACTGGGAAACAAATTGTTTCAAGCATAGAAAATTTGATGTTTCAAAAAATCATATGGAGTTTTAATTGGTCATTTACACCCAACAAGTGAGATGGGATAAATGGGCACCGTTGGATTCAAAACCGATGGTTAGAAAAGCTAATGATTTGGTCATTGCAAATATAGTCCTCTATCGCAAATAAATAAATAATACTTGATCCATCCTAAATTATAAGACGTTTGACTTTTTCAACTCCAAATTTGACTACTCGTCTTATTCAAAAAGTTTGTGTAAAAATAGTCAAATTTAAGTCATTCTTAATGAACTTTTATTAATAACAGAAGCAATGACAAAAGAAGTGATATTTTGCACAAATTTTTTAACAAGACGAGCGATCAAACTCGGTGTAAAAAAAAAATCAAAAGTCTTATAATTTGAGATGGATGGAGTAAATAAATAGGTAGGAGTATTCCTTATTACACATAAAATAGAAAAGCTACTTAATTACTATACAAGATATATCCAGAGGCTAGAGCAATGCGTCAAGTGTTTTGCGCAGTGATCTATTGACACAACAGTCGAATAATTGGTCAAGATAGTTTCATAAACATTGTGTCAATATGTATTTGCCATTTTGCAAACAGAGAATAATAACAATAAATAGAAAGGATGGATAAGTATCCGTCGACATGCATCCACTTGTGTGCCGTAAGTAGAACAGTGATTCATATGTTTTATCTAGATGCAATGCATTGCATGCAAACATTCCTTGTCTCGTCTAAGTTACTGAGGAAAAAAAAAAGATCTACACGTTCAAACTTTGTTCCCTACTACTTTGTGCCAATAATGCCTTTCTCTACTCAGCCTTTTCTAAAAACAAACATAGCACAATAAAGAAAATCGACTTGCCTGCAACTTAACTTAATTCGCCAAAACTGCAAGCCCCCATCTTTGAACCTGACTATCCATTTCTACATTTCGTATATTTTTTTTCTAATCAAACCGTAGGAAATATATATTCATAAACACTTCCATAAGAAACGTATTTATTCCATTTGTTCCCCTGTTTCACGAAACAAAAAAAAAGAACAGAATTTGAAGGGCGATTTGCTTTGACCATTCACACATCCGTTTGACCATGGCATTCTGCTGGTGCTGGCTACCTGTCTGCTGCCTTACGTCATTACGTGTACCTTTTAAACCGGTGGAAGTATAGATGGATGGATATCGCTCCTAACTATCTTAATTAAATTAGGTACGTATAGGACTATAGGAGTAGGCTTCATTCCGTGATTAATTTCTGTTCTTCCACTAGCTAGTACTGAGTACAACGATGTCGACGACGAGTACTAGTTACTGTGGTAACTACCGCTAAGATGGTTAATTAAATGGTTAATTAAATCAAGCTATCATCGCGCCTGTGGTAGAGAAACGTTTACATCATTGTGTTAGGATTTTGTTACCGCCACGTCCTTTTCCGCAGAAATATTCATGAAAAATATGTGTATACTAATCTAACACGCTATTACTTGTGCTAGAAATTAAAACAAAAATGTGTGTACTAGTTATATCAAAAACAACAACTCTTGAGATTGTTGTTTTCGGTATACTAGTGACACATCTTTTAATGATCATGAAAGCAAAATCAACAAATCTCGGACATTCTAATGATTTTGCTTTCAGATCATTTATCCCCTTTCTGATTGCAAAACATATAATGTTAATCTATCCTACACTAAATTTCATTTTTTTTCTAGGATTTCAAGTTTAATTCACCGATCTAAACTTGTTGTTGCATGATATAAATGTGGACACGATCTTTCAAACTTAATTTTGAAATCATAGAAACAAAAACTTGTGTGAGTTATATAAATGGCCATGAAATTAATCTCTCGAGACATCAAGACGTGACATCTGCAGCCTTTCGATCAAAGGAAACACCACCTAATAATTTCGAAAACAAAGAAAAGCTGCTTAATCTTCCAATAATAGCGACTTTAATGGCAACGTGCCGAGAGCGGCGGACCTTTGGAACCTACTCCCTCTATCCCACTGTCTTTGTCGTTCCAGACCTCCTCTATCCCACTGTCTTTGTCGTTCCAGACCTCGTTTAGATTGCAAGTTTTTTCACTCTCTCTCTATCACATTAAATCTTTGACATATGCATGGAGTATTAAATGTAGATAAAAAAATAACTAATTACACAGTTTGATTATAAATTACGAGACAAATCTTTTGAGCCTAGTTAGACCATGATTAAATAATAATTATTAAATACAAACGAAAGTGCTACAGTACCAAATATTGATTTGTAACCACCAACTAAACAAGTCCCTAGCGTGTAGGCAGGTTCATCAGAGACCGTCTGAACGTAGACAGAGGAGAGGGCAAGTATAGGGAAAAGACAATGAATACAGACAGTTCAAATCCATCCCCCAACGACAGAACCTGTTCAGGAAAGTGTCACGTCATGCACGACGCACTTGACACGTACACGTACTACTCCAGCATATCGCACTTTTTCATTCATCCAAAAGGTGTCTCGCATTGTCTCGTCGTTGGTTGGTTCAGTCAAACAACCACACGTGTCGCAAGATGGGCTCCCCTATTATTCTACTCATCTCTCCACGTCACATCTTCGAAATGATGTCGGCTAGCACTCGGGTGATGCCGCACGTGTGAAATTGCAGCGGCACTTGGATTACCTAATATACTACTCTTGGCACGAATTTAAAACTTAAAAGGAGAGCTTTGCTCATCACCACAGACAACATATGTGGTTAGATACTATTTTTATTTTTTTATATAAGAAGCCAAGTTTGGGACAACTATTGTGGGGTTTTTTTTATAAACATATATCTTTCTTGGAGCATTCTCCATACACGGTGCATAAGATATTTGTCAAGAAAGTAGAAATGTTTCAACTGTGCTAAACATCCCGCTCTAGAATATTGTGAGGGATTGTGGTAAGTGTATGTTGCCGACATGAAGAGGACAATGTGCGAGAATGATTCCTCTTTATATTTTTTTTTCTCAATTGAAGCATTTGCAACAATTCAGTAACCTCACTTCCAATCTCGCTTATTTTGGCAACATGAAAAAAATAACTCTATTCAACAACTTTTTACTCTAATGCGTCATATAAACCCTGTATTTTAGGAGCAAATTGTTATTTTCCTCTATTAATAAAAGTTTGTTCTAACAAACTTGTAGTGCTTTCAGAAATTACTTTATCCATTTCAAATTATAAGATGTTTTGGGTTTTCCTAAATACATCGGTTTTACTGTGTATCTAGACATACTGCACGTCTAAGTGCATAGCAAAATTATTTTATCTAGAAAAACAAAGCGTTTTACGATTTTTTTTAACAGAAGGAGTAGTGTTATAGATGCTATAAAAGATAGTATTAAGTTTAGTGAACTTAGAAATTCTTACTGCCCTTAACATCAAAATTTTATTACAGACCACGACCTTGGATTAACTCAATATAAAACAAATGTAACCTAAATCAAGGCTCTATTCGGCATTTTAATTTGACGGGAGTCTCTGGAATTCCCACCTTCATCGCAGGCCCCTAAGCTGATAAGAAGCAAAGACGACCTTGTTTTTAGACTAGAATTGAATATGAAAGAAATTAAGGAGACCTTTTATGGAGTAAACAGTTGGGACTTGGTAACATACTCCAAAGATATACGTACATATAATACGTGTGAAGACAGCATACTCCAACATAGGTATAGTTGCCATTCCAAAAATGTTGCTCCTCTTCAATACGTACGAATGTACCCGTCTGCACTGAATCTGGTCAAAGACAGGTTTGACGAGATTAGCTAGTGTGCTCCATTATTAAACTACTACGTGTACTACTATAAATAAACCTACAAATGTGTGGGAAACGAACAAACCCTTTGCATTTGCCCGCTCCTTTTCTTTAGGAGTGACGAATTAAAGAAGATGCGTATGTGTGTTGCTGCCGTGTTGGACATGTTCTGTTCTGGTGTAGTTGCAAAGCTTGCAGCCTTGTTCCGGCATTTGACACAAAAATGTGTGTGAAAATTACTAACCGTTTAGGATTCCGGCTGGTCAAGGCTATGTGATTATGGCTGGAATTCGACACTTGAACCGGTTTGCCGGCCCATCCATAAATGTTCTCAAACTCTGCTCTGAATTTTAGGTTGGTATGAAAACAGGACACTATTGATACAGCATAGAAGAGCAGTGCTCGAGCCGTTCCAAATTATAGTTCAGCCTGAATTTATTCTAAATCAAATTTCTCTAACTTTGATCAAATTTATAAAAAAAATATGTCAATGTTTATTAAAAAAACTATTAGTTTTGTTAGATTCTTCTGCATTAATTTTAATAATGCATTTATTTAAACTTAAAGAAATTAATATATTTTCTAAAAATGATTAATACTAAATAAATTTAACTTAATACAGAGACATAATGAACTATAATCTGAAATGGATGGACCGCCGCTTTTTGTGGCAGTAAAAGTTTCAAGGAAAACGCTGCATCCTGCTTTCAAAGGATTTGACCTTAGCTTAGACAACTCTAGCAATTAATCCGAACAATTCTGGCAACAACCTACCACTTCTTTTGACAACAAAAACTTTTATGGGAAATTAAGGGGGTCAAAGGTCTCTGAAAACCACAAATATAAGTATGAGCTGGCTCCTCAAAGATGGTCACCATCACCGCCTCACCGAGACCAGACGCAGACTCAGACGGCAGAACATGGAAAAAGTAACCCTGGTACGGCAAAAAGGACAGCGAAACGGCGACCCAGGAGTGCCGCCCGAAGCGTGTCAACCAGGGATTAGAGGACATGGAATGAAACCTGCAGAACAGCCCAGAATCCCAGCAGAGAATTGACCGCGAGTCAGAGCTCCAAAACGAAGCTCAACATCGCGCAGGATTCTGGCACCGGCAGTCGGCAGATGTGCCAGCGCCTTGCAAGTGACACTCTTGACTGGTCAAAGCAAAGTAAGATTGAGGCAATTAGTAGATGGCACAGAAACCTGTCGGCTTCATCATGTCAAGGTCTCAAAAAGTTTGCTCCAGCTTTGACAACTGACAACTGAGAAACGCATGCAGTTGTAACAATTTAAGTCAGGTACCACAACAGAAGGCATGTTCTAGAGTCCTAATGGATCACCAATCTGAATATCTGACTCATGATCAAAATCAGAAAATATCAATAAGAACTTTACAAGACCATACTATGTAGCATCCAAATCAATAAATCCAAAAAGGTTTGGCCTCACGAGGAACGATGTCAACTCCACTGAAGTTGCCAACTGGATCAGTCAGCTTCCAATGAAGAGTAGTATTTCCAGTTCAAGGCTGGAGACTGGATGAACCATACAAATGATAAGATGGCAAGCTAGCTGCATTGCATTCTCCAGCAGAAGATTCCGATGCATGTTTCTGACGTTCAGGTTTTAGATCATTCAATTGGGATTGGGCCTTTCAGTCAACAACAGCATACCAATGTTGTGTACAACTAGAAGTCCTCATATGGCGCCGCCTAAGTTATTTCAGTGTGTTAAATGTCAAGGTCAGAGTGTAATTCTACAATTCCTCATGTGTATCAGTATATGTCATTTGTAAGCCATGTTAATGTTCAAGAATTTTATGCTTATATTTGTTAAAAGGGTGGTTTAAACAGAGGCCCACAAGCATGCTAGTTGGTCTCATTTCTTATGTTCTCAGAACCTATCATTTAGCTCAGTATTTAAGCAGCATTAGAGACTGACCCTTTGATGGCATACCTATAATTCTCCCCCCAAAAAGGATAATTTATCATGATCAAATACAATTAACACATTAGACTCTTTTCAACTAGAAGGAAGTATCAGAAGATGGATGTTGCATGAGAGACTGACTATTAAATTAGTGGGTACGCTCTTAACATATTAGGGAAAATTCTTGTTTGATACATCACGAAACAGAACAGCTCCCCCATAACACCATAAATTCACTGCTCGCACCATAAGAGCAAGCTATATGATGGAGGTAGACATCTTTACTCTTTCGTTGTTATGACCAGCAGGCCCAGTGCACCAATTAGCAGGTACTGCAGCAAGAGACAATGTGTTGAAGCAGTCCTTTCAATAATATGGGGGCTATAATATAATTGTTAAATTTGAGAACTATCTAGAAAACAAATAGTTCATCTACTTGCCTAATCTACACTAATAAGAAGAATGGGTAAGGTGCTCTCAACATATACAAAAACAAAAACATGTTCTCAAGTAGGTTGACTAAAATGAGCAAAATTAATGCTTTATTTTTCAGAGAAAATACATGAAACAGTAAGTATGAGCGTACCTTAATAAATGGTTTCTCAGTCATGACAATTGTAACCCAGCCGACATATGGAAGAAAGCTGTTAACAGTTGAAAACATATGGTCAGTTATTATTCCTCACAAGGTGCGGAAACAAGTGGATTCCGTCTACTTGAGTATTCTCACCCTACAGCACGTCCCATAATGTGATGCTGCTGGAGCCAAAGCTGACCATGTGCATATAAAAGTCGATCATCCCCAAAATTATTGTCACCTGAAAGGCATCTTATATCAATAAAAGTACATTGCTTGGACATGCACAGTACATAAAGTGTTGGCAATTGTTTGTTACCATTTTCTTAATTACATAGTACTAGGTAAAAAAAATTGGTCACTTAAGAAATGGCACCTTTTGTAAGGATGTCAACTTCTGCAGTGTCCTGACGTTCATGGACCTATAGAAACAGAAGTGTCAACAAACTGAACCAGCAAAAAAGAGTAGACACAAAATCCAGAGTAAATATCATTGGGCGACTTAAACTGTAATTCTGTGAATCAATATCCATTACCTTAATTACACGGTGAACTATTGGAATTTCACGCCCCTACAAAGATAACAGCCAAATGATACTTTAGTGTTTCCAACAGAGGATTGTGTAGGCACATATTAGAAACTACTATGAAGTGTAGAGAAAACTAATGAATTCGTGGGTCAGCTGCTTATTCACAACTAAGCAGTAGACTTACATCGATGTTAAAAACAACTATTTCTCCCGTGCGGATAGGATCTTTGCTCATGTGCAAAAACAGGATATCACCCTGTAAAGAAGATAATTAACCATCCTGGCATACTGGTGTGAAAGATGCTGGCACTTCATAAGGATACAGATAATGAACCTTGGAGTCAAATTGAGAGTCTTTTACCTGTGTGCCGTTATGAAAGTTGGGTCTAACCTCCACGCCACTAAAAAGTTCGAGCATACCTGTATGCCCAAGTCGAACTTGGTTTTACCCTCTGTGCCATTCCGTCCCTAGTATGTTTGGTTTTGGCCGTTTGAGAGCTCTTACATGCGGGTCCGGGTAGGGAAAATGTCTGAAATGTCCTTCTCTCATGACTCTACCCTCTTGCTTCTCTCTATGCCATGTGGGACCAAGCTGTCAGCAAACACATCTCCTCTATCTGTCCTTCACCTCCGCCCTCGCCGCTCTGTGTGCCACCACCGCGTGTGCCAGGACGCACCGCCTGGGCCGCCGCAACCGCGTCCAGCGCGTGCGGGCGCGCCGCCTGAGCCGCCACCACCGCTCGCGGGCACGCAGGCGCAGCCACGGCCGCGGGAAGGTACCTGGCGCGGACCGCCGCTACGGCCTCGACGCGATGACAGCGCCACGAAGCCCCGCTCCTGCCGGCCCTGCGAGGAGCGCCGCCGCCGGCGCCACCGGCTCCGCCCCCAGCCAAAGCGCCCGCGCGGCCTGCTCCGCCCCCGGTACCGGCGCATGCGCGGTCTGCTCCGCCCCCGGTACCAGCGCGGACGCGGCCTGCTCCGCCCACGGTCCCGGCGAACGCGGCGCCGACTTGGAGTGCCAGAACGCCCACTCGGCCGATGTGGAGGAGATGCGGCCAACTCCTCCCATGGCGCGCCGCCGCGGACACCCGCCGTGCCGGCGGACTCCTGAGCAACCCGCGGCGAGCTCCTCCCTGGCCACCGCGGGCGCGCGCGGGGCTCCGTCCCGTCCACCGCGGCACGCACGAGGGCTCCGCCCCAGCCACCGCCGGTCGCTGCGGCGGCGCACGGACGAGCTCCGCTCCGGCGACCGCGACTGCGCGTGGACGAGCTCCCCCAGCCATGGCGCTCGGCTTGTCTCCGGAGGCGCGCAGGCGCAGGCGAAGTCGAGCGAGGAGTAGGAGGGGGAGACGGCGAGGAGGCTGGGGAGGAGGTGGCCGCGCGCGCGGTGGAGGTGGAAGAAAAGCGGCGCCGTTCCCCGTCGGAGAGGAGGTGAGAGGAAAGGAATGAACGTGGGCCCACATGTCATTGGCATTCAGGTCTTTTCTCCACGCAGTTAACCACCGTTAGCACCAAAACTGGACGAATGGTACAGAGGGTAAAACCAAGTTCGACTTGGGCATACAGGTATGTTCGAACTTTTTAGTGACGTGGAGGTTAGACTCAACTTTTATAATGGCACACGGGTAAAAATGTACTTGTATACTAGTGATAAGAAAATGGAAAGTCCCCTCTTGGTAATTTCTGTAATTTAGATTTTAGACTGGAGCCGGTTGATGAACCATTTGTAGAGAGGTACTTTGTCATGGGAAGGAGAAAAATGCATGAGCCATACAACCAAAGTCAAATGCCACAGTCCAGTATCACAGTATACCATCCCATGAACTAGCAGCTAAGCATCCAGTGAAAAACCATCCAGCAGTAAATATCATGAAAGCATATACAACCTGTAAGCTCAATGCGATTTGTTCAGGAGATACCCTTTTAAATCCAGGCTCCATGCTACCAGAAAGAACCACTACCACCGGGGACTTGCTCCCCGTCATGACTATCAATCCCTTCCATATGATCAATGCCGAGGTCACAATCATACCTGCCAAGAGGAAAATCTAAGAGCTAAAATTCTATCATGTTTGCAATCAACAGAAAAAATACCTAATTGCAGCAAGCCATACCCCCAACCAGTAAGGGCCCCTTTGGAACTCGAGTAGCAAAAGGGTAGGGATAGGAAATTTATAGGAACGGAAGGGCATGACTTTGCGAATCCTACGAGAACAGTACACATACGCAAGCCCTTTGGCACACACCCCTCGCTCCCTTAGGATAAAAAATGGAGAAAGGCCGGGCCACCTCTGATCCCGCGCGGCTACAGCGCCGGAGCTCTGCCGCCCACCACCCGGGCTGTGGCGCCCCCGGCCGCGCCGTCGGGAACAGCGCCTCGTTGACGCTGCTGACGCCGGTCTCCTCTCGGCCGGAGTAAAGGCGGCGACTCACACAGGACCAGAAGACGGCGACAGCGCCAGAGCGACCGAGCGAGCGGGCGGCTTGCGCGAGGAAGTCCTCGTCTTCTCCCACGGCTTCACGGCTCCGGTTCGACACCGTCCCGCCGGTCTTGTCGGTGGTGCCTACTACTCGCCGTCGCGGGCCTCAGCAGCGCTAGCTCCAGGTCGTGCGGTGGCCAAGCTGTGGCGCTGGGGCCTGTCCGCTTCGGGGCTCCGAGCCTCACGGCGGGCGCGCGCGTGGCGCCGGGCGCTTGGCGCTGGTGTGTGCGTGGTGCGCGAGGGCGGCGGGAGTGGTGGCGTGAGGGCGGATCTGTGCTGCTTTCGCCGCGCTGCTTTCTCAGTCTGGCGCCAACAATAAGCGCCGCGTGCGCTCTCTTTTCGCGCCAGGAAAGTTATCAAGAGGTCTGAGCTCTTGGATAGTTTCCCGTGAAAATCCTGTGGAATCGCGCTCTGGATTGCCTTCCTATGGAAACGTTCCTACGAACCAAAGGCCACCGTAGGAAAAATTCCGTAGGAACTAACAAAGCCAGATAACATGGTAGCAGAAAGTGACCCATTCCCCATACCCTGAATATCACAGATTTCTTATACAAAATTCTTTTGCAAGCAAATAATGGTGTAAGTATAGGCATTCAACGAGAGACTGAGAGAGCATGAGTAATACACATTACACCATTAAACGAGGGAGGAAGAAGAATCCCGGTTCGGCTCATTGCGACTGTTGTCTGTCGTTCAAGGCAATTGCTGCTCTTCTTAAGACGGAGCCAGCAGATGAAGAACCCACGCCCCCGATCTTCCAGGCCAAAATCCACCCAAATTTATGAATAGAATCGGTACTACCCACCAAAACCCTACTGGAATCGATCCAACCACAGCCCAAGCACTGCACTGCAGGGCTCCGCGGAAACAAAACCATGGTGGGACTAAGGAGAAGGTAGCAGAGAGAGTAACCTACCGAGGCTGATGATCTGCGAGAGCACGTGGCGGACCTGAATCGAGCGGATCGACTCCACCGTGTCGCCGACGAAACCCATCTCTCCCGGCGGCGAACTCACGACGGCGGAAGGGCGGCGGCGGAAACAAAGCGTGTCCAGCACGAGCAAGACGAGGTGATTGGTGACAGTTCCCGGGCCGGCCCAGCCTGGGGATGCCTCATGCTTGGGGTGCTTTGGGCCGCCAAATCTCCACGCCCGCGCTTCATCCAGATGTATGAGGCAGCCCAGTTATTATCATTCGATGGGCCATGGGGCATGGGCGAAGAGCAATAAGAATTTTAGGAAAAAATCAATTTTGTGGTAGTCCTAAACTATCCTCAAAGTCTAGTTTTCCTCATTCCCTAAAAAAAAAGTCTACTTTTCCTGATTAAACTTCAAAACCAGGTAAATCACCTCTCTCAACTTTTGAAACCGTTCGTTTTACCTCCTAATCTGGACATAGGTGGTTTTCAAGGCAGTTTTGACTTTTTAATTTAACAATAAATCCAGTAAATTCCTAATGAGGTTTTTAAACCACGAAAAATATATCTAAGCTTCAAAAAAAATTCTGAAAAAATACTAAAGATGTATTAGGAATGCATATCTAGACACAGTATGGAATTGAAAAGTACTTCCTCCATCCCAAATTGTAAGTCGTTTGACTTTTTCGACATCAAGTTTGATCACTCGTCTTATTCAAAAATTTGTGCAAAATATCACTTATTTTGTCATGTCTTTCTTTATTAATAAAAGTTCTTTAATATTAACTTAAATTTGACTATGTTTATATAAATATTTTTGAATAAGACAAGTGGTCAAACTTGATATAAAAAAAGTCAAACGACTTAAGTTTAGGATGGAAGATATATGATGAATCACTTAGCCGCAAGTCAAGCTTAACTGTGCGAACAAGCTTTATGTGTGTTCGTCCCGTGCAACACACAAGAATATTTGCAAGTACACACTACAAAATGTATGTAAGATCGGGTGTACTTTTATAGTGAACTCGATTATTTATGTACCACAAATAAAACTCATTTTTTCTAACCACTAGATCAAGATGATTCATGAATCATATGATCGTCACCGTCTAAAAAAGAGAGAGACTTTGTAGCCACTGTTCCATATATTTTATATATAGCACAAGGCTTGTATAGTGAATCAATAAAGACTGAGAATAATGAGCCCGATCGCAACAAGTACAATATCGAAATGCAAGATTAATTTGCGTGTTTTAAAAAAATCGATGTTACGAACTTTTTTTTGACAAAATGTGTAGAAAATGCATAGAGATACTGATGTACTTCCTCCATGCTCATAAAACATGTCGTTTTGGACAAGTTTTGATTTGAACATTGGAATATGAATCATCGATAACTTTTAAGTTGTTGAGTTTGTAAATGTGAAAATTATATGAATAGATTTGTCTTAAAAATAATTTCATAAAAGTATACACATATCACTTTTCTACAAATATTTTTATAAAAATAAGAGGTTAAAGTTGTGTTTTAGAGACCGTGTCATTGTCCTAAACAACATGTTTTACGAGTACGGATGGAGTATACGTAAATAATATAATAAGCGCATGCACGTATAACGAGTGTGAGGCGGGGGCGGGGGCGTAGGGCGGCACGCGGCATGGAGAGAGGAGAGAGGGAGGATAGGGAAGATTTTGTTCTTTATTGCTTGCCAATCAATTACATCCCCTATGTATTTATAGCCGGGCTGACTTAATTCCTAAGTAATTGGGAGATCCTTATAGATACGGATCTTCCTTTAATAATCCCGACCTCTTTCTATTTAACAAACTCTTTCCAAACCTACAGGGACTCTTAATTGGAAACTAGAGATATTGTTGGCGGGACTGGCGGCGACGGTGACGGCGGGCTGCGCCCACCCCCTCTCCCGCGCGCGGCACCCTAGGGCGCCCCCCTAGGGGTGTGTGCAGCCACGGCGGCGGTGGCAAGGGCGGTGGTGCCCCCCTCGCGGGCCCGAGTCGCCCCGTTGTCGCCGTTAACGAGTGAAGCCCGCGTTGCACGCGTGACAGGACTCCCCCCCTTCTCCGATCGGCGCGTCCACGCGCCGAAACACATGCCAACTGTTGACGCCGAATTGAGGCAGAATTGTTGCTGGCGGTAATTCCTCGAGGAAGCAAGTCATGCGACCTTCCATTGGATCGCTGAGGGTGATGTTTTGTCGGGTTCTGATAGGAGCGAAGTCGAAGTAGTACTGTAGATTGCCGATGTTGCCGAAGAGGTGGTAGATGCAATCACCAGTGCTGTTGCCCGAGAGGGGACCTCCTTGTGCTGCAACTAGGAGGTGACAAGGAATGGTTGCGGTTACCTCGAATCGGGCCATCACTTTGGGAGGTCTGCTGAAGTGGCGGACATGGTTGTCAGGGTCGGAGCAGATGTAGGCGGGCAGACGACGCCAGATCATCGTCGATGTACGTGTTGATTGTGGAGTTGTGAGGTCCATCATGTCGCTGAACATGAATGAGTCGGTGTCGAAGTTACTTGGCAGTAGGCGATGAACTCCGGAATTCGGTAGTATGTCGATGTCGACGCTGTTGGCTCGGAGTAGCATGCGGCCTAGGCCGTCGACGAATACCACCGTTGCTCCAAGGACGGAGCGTTGCGATGGCCAGGCACGGCCAAACAGGATGTGGGAGGGAAGCCCGTTCTCCTGGTAGGTTGTTGGTGGTCGCTGGGCGCCCAAGGCTAGCAACTCTATGCTAGTTGGTCCTTCGTCGTGGATGATCTGCAGGAGGTCAAGTAGTAGTGGCGACGAAGAAGGGATGTAGAGACGGTCGTCGAAGAAGATGAGGCCTTCATCGAAGGTCCACGCAAACAGCTCGTCGCATGTGGT